CCCCACCCCCACCGCCACAACCCCCACCTCCTAGTTCTAGTTGAACGTCGGTGCCACCTTCGGAGCCATCACCCCCCCTGCAGAGGAACTGCAGGAAGACGCCAACAATAGCGAAGGAAACGAAAGCCACAATTACAATAACAGTGGTCCGATCAACCATTTTTGGTATGAACTTGAAGCTTGAATTGCAATATGAATTTTCAACTTTTTTATAATTGAATTAGGGGTTGGATAACTGTGGAGTTGAAATTTCCAAAGAGTTGCATATGACACGCAAACTCAATTGTTTTATAAACTATATGCATTCAATTCTAAAAATTATATTCTAATTAATTCACTAAGTCATTCATAATCAATATAATTTCTTAAATTCTTTTTTTAATTATAAAAAAAAAAAAAAAAACAAAGACTAAAACTCAATTCAAACATCATTATAGATCGTGTTATCCAAAACTCCATATGCGTCACATCATAAATTAGAATAAATATATAATCTCTAAAGTATAATTTTTAGAACTTATTATAATTTAACATACAAAAATTTAATTTACATACAAATTTATTTCAAAGAAGTTCTAAAAATTATTAAGATTCACACCTAATTAATCATAATACATATATATACGCCCACCTCTGAAAGAAAGAACTAACGTCAACAGCCACCGCCGCCGTGGCCTCCACCTCCAAAATGAACCCCTGCGAGGTGTACCCCACCATGTCCATGGTGTACGTCGGCATGTCCATGATGCAATCGTCCACCATGGGCAGCACCGCCGAAACGAGCACCTCCTTCGCCGTTACTGCCACCCTCTGTCCCATGGCAAAGTAAACTCAACAGCGTGAAAACTACACAAATGGAAACAACCACTGGGATTATAATAAACGCCGGGTTAACCTTTTTTTTTTTTTTTTTCTTTTCCACCATGAACTTGAAGAAGGTTTGCAATGGATTTGGTTTGATTTATATGGCACACAGCTTGAGAGATTGGAGAGATTGGATAACGCATTTTACACGTAAATGGAATTCAATTTTGAAAGATTCACATCTGTCACTCTGGAAAATTCATTCGTTCAAGGTTTGACCTTTTCTTACAAAACCATATGTTGGATTAAAAAAATTTGAGTCCACCTATGTGTCCATGTGGTAACCAACTACATCCACTTGGTACGTAAATCAGATACACATCAATATTGAATTAAACATGGTTTTAGAAAAATTAGGAACTTTTTCAAAGACTTTGCATGACGAGTACTTTTCGAGATTTTGAATCAAAGATCAGTATGTGCTGACACAAAATATTTGAATGACCGACATACATATAACAAAATAAAAATACAAAAGGAGCCCTCTACCATATGAACTACGACCAAAATTTGTAATGATTCATTCATGATTCTTTTTACTAGTCTTTGGTCTATTTAATCAAGTCCAAAAGTGTAACAGCTAGATGTAATAAAATTGAGATGTAGGATATCGATCTCTATGCCTCTCGCATGCGAAGTGAATGCTCTACTATATAAGCTACCTTCCCTGAATTTGTTGACCAAAATTTGTAATAATTCATTCATGATTTTTTTTTGTCTATGATTAAAGCATAATAACTAGATGTAATGACATGGAGATGCAAAATATCATTCCTGTGCCTCTCGTATGTTAAACGAATGCTCTACCATATGAGCTACGTCTTCTCCCTTCAGATGAGTTCAGGATTAAGAATGAGTTTCGAGTCCCTTAATTGTCTCCACATAGTAGCAACATCCTATTATAATCTACTGGACACGAGTAGAAGAAAAGGGCATAACAGAAACTTAACCTAGATTCTTAAACATCATCAGTTCAACACCTTGGCGACCGACATTCATAAGTAATGGGTCCTAGAACTCGATTCAAATTGTATTAGCCTGGACTACTTCATAGAACATGTTCTAAAAGTGTGGCCAAACAAGGTTCTTTCATCGCCGGCAACCCTCTTTTTTTAAGGTATGGTTAAACAAGGTTGTGTTGGATTGGTATTATTAGAAGTGCAATGCAAGTGTTCGTTGAATTTGGAAGATAGAAATTTGAGTCGTTTACAACTGAGCAACCTGCAGTGGCACTAAAATTAGAAATGGGAAGAACACAAACATTATAAAGCTTTCACACAGAAAGAAAGAAAGAAAAAGAGAAAGAGCTATGGAGAGTGGGAGGCTTCATTCTTCCGTCAATCGTCCAAAGGCAGCTCTTGGAGGATGGAGAGCCGTCAGATTCATACTTGGTAAGTTAATCAAATTTGTTTGTTTGTTTGAGTCTGAGGAAAAATTTTATGTGATGTCGTATATTGGTTGGGGAGGAGAACAAAACACGATGCATGGAAACCTTCTCCTTGTAGACGCATTTTAAAGCCTTGAGAGAAGTCCGAAAGGGAAAGCCCAAAGAGGACAATATCTGCTAGCCGTGAATCTGGGTCGTTACAAATGGTATCAGAGTAGACACTGGACCATGTGCCAGCTTTCTCGCTGTTCTCCGAAGGGGATAAACACGATGCGGTGTGCCAGTAAGGACACTAGACCTCGAAGGGGGTGGATTTGAGGGCGGTCCCACATCGATTGGAGGAAGAAAAGAGTGTCAGCGAGGACGCTGGGCCCGGAAGGAGGGTGGATTGTGATGTCCCACATTGGTTCGGGAGGAGAACAAAACACCATTTACAAGGGTGTGGAAACCTTCTCCTAGCAAACTAGTTTTAAAGCCTTGAGAGTAACCCGAAAGAGAAAACTTAAAGAGGACAATATCTACTAGCGATGAATCTGAGTCGTTGTTTGTTTGTTTGTTTGTTTGGTTTGTTTTGTTGGGGTTATGAAATTTTTTTTTGGCTTTGTGGAAGGCAATGAGACGTTTGAGAAACTGGCGTCGATGAGCTTGATAGCCAATTTGGTATTGTATCTGCACACGATGTACAATTTGGACAGCGTTGATTCGGCTTATGTGTTCCAAATCTGGAGTGGCACCACCAATTTCGCTGCCCTCGCCGGGGCTTTTCTTGCTGATGCTTATTTGGGAAGGTTTTATACTCTCCTCTTTGGCTCCTTCGCCTCCCTCCTGGTACTTTTCTTCTTCTCTTCCACCCCTCTTCACCAAATATATACATATTCACCTTTCAAAATTCATGGATTTTTTGATATGATTACTCAAATCATTTAGTGATTGTATGGTAAGTTGATTTAATGTTGGTTAAAGTTAACGTGAGATCCCACGATCGATTGGGGAGTGAAACGAAACAATTTTTGTAAGAGTATGGAAACTCTTCCCTGTCAAACGTGTTTTTAAACCTTGAAAGGAAAGCAAAAAAAAACAGATAGCAGTGGGCTTGAGCTGTTACAAATGGTATCAGAACCGAACATTGGACTGTGTGCTAGCGAGGACGCTGGCCTACAAAGGGTGGTTTGTGAAATCTCATATCAGTTGGAGAGGGGAACAAAATACACGTTTTAAAACCTCGAAGGGAATCCCAAAATGAAAAGGTCCAAAAGAACAATATCAGCAAGCTGTGGGTTTGGACTGTTACAAATGGTATCAGAATCAGACACTGGACGGTGTATCAGCGAGGACGCTGGCCTTCAAGGGGGTGGATTGTGAAATCCTACGTCGGTTGTAGAGGGAAACGAAACATTTCTTCTAAGGGTGTGGAAACATCTTTCTAACATACGCGTTTTAAAACCTTGAAAAAAAGCTAAGAGGGAGAGGCAAAAAAAAAAAACAATATTTATTTGCTGTCACTTGGACGGTTACAAATGGTATCAGTCGGCCTGATAGAAGCTTGTCTAGAAGCGACTAGTTGCTTCCTGAATGCCTCTTGACTTTAGTATGGTCTAGTCTTTCTTTCCAATGCCTCCTTTCTTGCCGCCAATCGAGAGTAAGCAAGTGACCTTGCTTGCATTCTAAGGGAAGCAATTTTGCGAGTCTACAAAGCTTCGCAGTTCTCCCTCCCCTTTGCCTCATCATGACATTAGATCTATAATGACTGACGAGTCGGAACATTACGAATATAATCACGCAGAGCGCCGGACCGTCGGACCACGTCCTTGTCAATTCTCTAAACAAAACAAGAAGGCTTATAATATTATGGGCTGAATGTGGTGATATTAATTGATAATAGGGAATGGGAGTTTTGACACTAGGCGCTGGCTTCCCTGAAATGAGGCCCCCACCCTGCAGACATGGCGAGTCCAACTGCCCACAGCCTCACCCTTGGCAACTCGGCTTCCTCTACCTTGGCCTCGGACTACTTGTCATCGGAGCCGGTGGCATAAGACCCTGCAACATCTCCTTCGGCGCTGACCAATTCGACACCAACACTGAAAAAGGCAGAGCCAAGCTGGAAAGCTTCTTAAACTGGTGGTATCTCCTCTTCTCTGTCGCCCTCGTCATAGCCCTAACCCTTGTCGTCTATGTCCAAACCAGCATAAGTTGGACCCTCGGCTTCGCCATTCCCACCGCCTGCTTCGTCTTCTCCATCCTCATCTTTCTCTTGGGCCGCCGCTTTTACATCTGCAAGACCCCTCAAGGCAGCGTCTTTGCCGACATCGCGAAAGTCCTGGTCGCCACGTGTCGGAAGCGCAATGTTCCAAAATTCACTCAAATTGATCACTTTTTACATGACCCTCCAATGGATTCCTCTAAGCTGTCTCACACGGACAGGTTTTTGGTATTTGACAAGGCGGCTACGGTGGTTGATTCCTCCACCGAATTGGACGAACAGGGGAAATCCAAGAACGAGTGGAAATTGTGCAGTGTTCATCAAGTGGAGCAATTCAAGTGCGTTGTTGGGATTGTCCCCATTTGGGCAGCCGGAATTCCATGCTTTATTTCAATGCAACAAATGGGTTCATTTGGGATTCTACAAGCCATTCAAATGAACAGATTCATCGGACCTCATTTCCAAATCCCACCGGCTTGGATGAGTCTCACACCCATGATTGCTCTGTCCATTTGGATTTATATTTACGAGAAATACGTGGAATTCATGAAGAAAAAAACCCATAAAAACAAACGCTTCTCCCTGAAAACCAGGATCGAAATTGGGATTGTGATGTCGGTTTTATGTATGGTGGTTGCCGGAATTCTCGAGAATATCCGCCGTAGCTCGGCAGAGGAAAATAAGTCGTTTGTTTCACCGTTGCACGTTTGGATGCTGATACCGGAGTTTGCTCTGTCGGGTTTGACGGAGGCTTTCGCGGCAATTGCTGTGATGGAGCTTCTGACTACGCACTTACCGGAGAGCCTGAGGACGGTGGCCGGAGCTATATTTTTCTTGAGCTTGTCGTTAGGTAGCTATATGAGCTCTGTTCTTATGGCTATTGTGAGCAAAATAAACAGAGTGGAGGGCGGAAAAAGTGGATGGCTTGGAGGTAATGATCTTAACAAAAACCGCCTTGATTACTTCTTCTACGTGGTGGGTGTCATTGCGGCATTCAATTTCTTCTACTTCCGCTTCTTTGCCACTCATTTCTTACCCAAACCGAACGTTTGATCCACCGCAGAAGCCTCATGAAAGTCCGTTAATGGATCAAAAATCTGGTCGTACATAATCAACAAGTTATATATATATATATATATATATATATGTATGTATGTATGTGTATATGTGCAGTGATTGATGTTGGATGATGAAACTCCCACGTCTATTAACTTAGGGAATGATTACGAGTTTATAAATAAAGAATACTCTCTCTATTAATTTGAGGCCTTCTTGTCAGCCTAAAGTAAGGTCATGAAAGCTCATGTTCAAAGTGGACAATATCATATCATCGCGGAGTCGTGTTCGTGGGTTTTTTCTTATTCATTTTTATTTTTACAACTTATAGCCATATGGTTGGATTTAATAAAATTGTTGTTTTGAAACATTCAGACGGTTTGATTTAATTTTTATTTTATTTTATTTTATTTTAGTAATGAGAGCATAAAGTATTTGCTCCATTTTTGTCTTTATTTTGACCGGAATAATTGTTTTGAAATAAATTTAAAATTTAAGAGAAAAAATAAAATTTTGGAAAGTTTTGAGTCTAATTTAAAAATAACTTTTTTTTATTTAATTTAAACTAGAATAAACTTAAAATTTGAAGACTAATTAAATATAAATTTAATAAATCTGTATTAGAATATGAGGACGTGGACCATTCATGAGGTGACAAGTGTGCATTGCTATCTGGCAACTAAAATTTAATCCCAACGGCTACTTCAGTTCCCGCGTCAGATATATATATATATATATATATATATATTTGAACAGACTGTATTTCAGTGTTTTTTTTTTTTTTTTTTTTTTTTTTNNNNTTTTTTTTTTTTTTTTTTGTTCGTTAAATTCTTCACCTCTTTCCCAGAAAAGCCTCTCCGATCACAGCCTTTATATAAAATCTCCCAAAAATCACTTTTTTAAGCCAAAAATCCAAACCCCAAATAAAACCATGGCCAAGATCGACGCCCTTCGTCGGTTTTTCCTCCCCTGTATCTTTCCGCCCACCGCCACAACCGCCACCGCCGCCACCGCCGCCCCCAAGAAACGTCTGAGCACCTCGCTTCGTGACGACTTAGAAATCTCCGCGTCCACCACCGCCAATGGCGGTCCAACCCACGATCAAGATTCTACAGCCACTACTCCCGACAGCGTCACGCCGAAGTTCGCAGCGGCGGCGGCGGCCGCCGCCGCCATCGTAGCTCCACCACGACCTTCGAAAACTATGGTGATCGGAACTATCTTTGGCCATCGGCGTGGGCACGTGTGGTTCTGCGTCCAACAAGACCGCCTCCGAAACAAGCCCTTTCTCCTACTCGAGTTTCCGATTCTAACTCACCAACTCGTCAACGAAATGCGATTCGGACTCGTCCGAATCGCCCTCGAGTGCAACCGGGTCGAACTCGGACTCTGCCCGCTCCGTTCGATCCCCATCTGGGCAATGTCCTGCAACGGGCGAAAACTCGGGTACGCTGCGAAGAAAAAAGCCGGCGACTCGATCCGGTCCATGCTAAAGACAATGCAATCCACAACAGTGGGAGCCGGAGTAATGCCATCCGGGTTCGGGTTCGGGTCGGGATCGAAAACAGAGGAGGTAATGTACATGAGAGCTAATTATGAGCACGTGGTGGGGAGTGCTGACTCGGAATCGTTCCATCTTATTAACCCGGACGAGTTCCCGGGACAAGAACTCAGTATCTTCTTGCTCAGATTTCCAAATATGGGTAATCAATAAAAATGGTTCCTTTACTTTATTTATGAACTTCATTTCTGTACATTTTTTCCTCTGTTTTTATGACCCAACAGAGTTTTTGGTTCTGTTTTTCTTCGGAGGATTTTCAGAAATGAAAACTCTGCGTTTTCTTGCTCTGGAAATTCCATACGTGTTCTTGTTCTTCATGTTCATGTTCATATGAATGGATAAACATTACTTTTTAAAAATTTGATGTTAACTAGAGCCAGCTCTCCATGTATATATAAATATATGGTAAGGTTGAATATTAAATATGGCATATGATTCCAGCAAAACTATGATTATAAAAATGAATGGACACCGTATCTTTGTTTATAAAGATTATTATTATATTAGAAAAGGGGATGAAGATGTAATTAGTAGATATGGAAGAATATAGTGAATATTAAAATGATGGATCAAAGCAAACACTCATAATGTTGCTTTCCACGAACGAGGGTTTCTTTCTTGAATGATTTCGTCTCCAATTTTTGTAATTTATGGGATGACGAAGGAATTATTAGGAGAGAGTTCCACGTTGACTAATTTAGAGAATGATCATGCATTTATGGATTTATAAGTATGATTGTCACGAGACCTCTGGCTCAAAGTGGATAATATTGTACCATTTGAAGGGACACTGGTTCCTATCATAGCATCAGGGATATGCTCTTAATTTAGCTATTTTAATAAAATCCTAAAATGGTGTACTTTGTTAGAGGACTCTAAAAGGAGTTGAGCTTCACTTAAGGAGACTCTCTATAGGTACATTCTTTCCTCTAGTCTGTCATTGAAACCAACCACAATTGGTATCATTTTTGTCTCTTTTTGAGTAATTTCAGTGGTCTTATACGAGAGCTCGATATCCTTAATGGGGATCTCCATGCGGATTTATTATAAGCCCTCACGTGTTTGTAAGTTATAGAAAGTATTATATGGCTAATGAGCAAAGTCCGAGTGTGGTTCATGGAAATTCGGTAGATTTTTGTTCGGTTGGAACTGTAAGGCTTCCAAGTTATACTTCTATGTTTATATGATATGATTCTCCCAATAATCATTCCATAAACGTTCGAAAATCGATTGTTTTGGGTAATAACCATTCGATACAAATTCAAATTACTTTCATGTAAGTCGTAGTAATCAAAATTGATCTTAAAAATAGAGACTAAAAGATACATTTGAAATTAATTTTTTATAATTTTTTTTAGTAACAAAAACCAGTTTGCATTTTGCACCACGTACCACACCGTTGTACCACGTTGGCACACCATTCGATGACCATGTTCCCCTCTCCAACCGACGTGGGATCTCACAATCCATCCACTGTCCATGAACTGGATCTCACAATCCACTTCCTGCCCATGTCCTCATTGGCATAAGGTTCAGCGACCGACTCTTATACCATTTGTAACAATTCAAACTCATCGCTAGTTGATATTGTACTCTTTCGACTCTCTTCTAGACTTCCCTCCAAGGTTTCAAAATTTCTCTACTAAGAAAAAGTTTCCACAACCTTATAAGAAATGTTTTATTTCCATTTACGATCAATATGGGATGTCATAATTAGTTACACAACTTTCACATAAAATGATTCAAATTATAAGCATGAAGGCACCATAGATATACCAGCTGAAGTCATGAAATGAATTTACAGTAATACATTAATCTCAAACCCTAAAAGCTTTACTCGTGGGGATAAAACAATAGAGCATTAAACTAAGAAAAACTCTAATGAAATTAACACCCATTAATAAACATAAAACAACAATATTAACAGATAAATCAATTTAATGAGCAAATAACCCATAAGGGTTTTTTGTTTCTTACCTTGTTCATAATCTTCTTGTGCTGATTCAAATAGCATCCGAATCATACTTTCGAGCTCTAGTAGAGACTTCGAAACGCTGAAAGTGTTAGTAAAAATTAAATTTATATTTGATTTGATGGAAGCGAACCTATTCGAATATATTGTCAATCAGGAAGAGATAATCTGCATCCCAAGGACCAGCGAAGCACATCATGAGAGGATAAGTAACATATTGAACTCCCTAAACCTCAGGATGCAGATTACCAGATCCTAACTCAATCATTGAAAATGAAAGGATTTTGAGAAGAAGAAGAGAGAAGGATCTGAGGTGTTGTTGTTGTTGTGCATTATGATGAGAATTTATATAAGGGTTTTAAGGCCATTGATTCCCCCAATAATCTTAATTTAATATATTATTAAGTGGATACCCATGATAGATAAGGTGCTGTCTCTGGAACAGAATGATGAATGATGATTCTTTTTGTTCTATTGCTGCCCGAGTGAATGATTAAATGCCCATTCTTTTCTTGCACAATCATTGTTCTTCTTCCTTTGACTGCTTTTTCAGAGGGTATCTATCTATCCCGATATACTTTCTTTAATGTTTTGTTCACTTTGACCCGTTATGTATCGACCGCTGCTAGTGGATATTGTTCACTTTTGTCTATTATGTATCGTCGTTAACTCCTATTCCAACACTTTGATACCATTTGTAACCGTTCAAGCTCACTGCTAGCAGATATTTTTCCTGTATCAATTGATTTAGTATTGATGCTAAATACTTTATATCAAAGCGAAGCAAAGATGCGTGAGTGAGTAGCTATTCTAGGAAAGTAAAAGGAGTGATAGAGAAGCTTATTAATTTATTTGAACCCAAAAGGATGGCTTTAATGAACATGTGTAATGATCTGGGATTCTTCAACTTTTTTTCCATCTGGAAATCATTAATTGATTAAAGGAATAGCTGACGGGATTATATCCCAAGTATAGATTAGATGGTCACCCTCAGCTTTTGTTTACACACTCTAAAAGGCCCTTTCATTATTCTATGTTTATGCCCATCCAAAAAGGAGCGCCAATTTTGTTTCCTCCTTTTTATCTGCTGCTTGCTTCCTGTTCCTCGTCTCTGTTGTTTGTGCCTTTCCATCATTGCTCAGATGCCAAAACACAGGGCCTCTGTCCCATTCTCAACATCATCAATCATATTCATGAACCAATTCGATAACAACTTTTTACAAGTAGAGTTTAAGAGGAAGATCAAGAGATGTTTGTGGTACAAGCCACTTAGAACCGGGGGATCAGATCCTCTTCTAAACCAGCTTGCTAAATTAGTATCCAATTCAACCTAAATGCTTCATGACAGAGGTTTCCAGAATATATCTAATTGAAGATAGTTTTGCATAACTTCTTTATTCCAACAGGTGGAAAGTATTGTCCTTTCTTCTATCCAAGATGGAACAGGTTCTCCCCTCTCAGATTCGTCTACAACAATGGAGGCTTCTTCCTGGAAGGTATGGGCCTTGGGAGAGATGGGGGAGGGGCGCTAACAGCAACCACTAGATAAGATCAGACATATAGTCTTGTTTTCAGAAAAAAGGACTAGATTTAACTCGATAAAATATCTCACTTCATAGTTTTACAGCATTGGTAAAGATAATCCAACAATCCAACGACCATAATCAGTTCAAGTAATATGAAGATCATAAGACATGTCAGGCCAAGCACGATGAAATTGTTCGACATCTATAGGATGCATCGAGTCTAAAATAAGGTGTTTCATTTAGGAAGCCTCAGCAGCTGGTTGAGTCAAACCAGACTTCACCAACAACTTGCTTACGGACTCGGGTGAGCAAACTTGATACTTGACGTTTCCAGCAGGTGAGAGGAAAACCTCAGCTAATTCAAGCTTTTCAGATGTAAGACTTGTGCTATCCATGGTTTTGCTAAGCACCTTAAGTGCAAGCTGTATGGCCTCTTCCCTAGTGATATCATCCTTGTAATCCTGTTTAAGCATCGACTGTGCTGCCTGGTTGTTGGCACCAATTGCCGCAGCCTTCCAGCCACCATAGTTTCCACTTGGGTCACTCATGTATAGTTGGAAGCCATAGTTTTTATCCCATCCTGCAAAAAGAAAAGAAACGCCGAAGGGGCGTAGACCACCAAATTGGGTGTATCCTTGCTTTGTATCACAGAGAGATTGAACCAGTTGCTCAACAGGCATTGGCTCTTGGTAAGCGTAAGTGTATCGTTGGGCTTGAACCCTTGCAGTATTGATCAATATGTTGGCATCGGACATAATTCCAGCCACAGCACATGCAACATGATCATCAATCTTGTACATCTTCTCAGTGGAAGTTGAGGTCTGCAGGAGTTTGGATGTCACCTTCTTTTCGCCTACCAACACCACTCCATCTTTAGATAATATCCCAATTGCAGAACCTGCATTTCCAATTGCCTCCATTGCATATTCAACTTGATAAAGACGGCCTTCAGGAGAGAAAATCGTCGTTCGGCTATCATATCTTCGAGACATTTTCTGATATTCTGTTGGACAGAGAAATAGAATGGAGAATTAAGGATAGATAATCTGCAGGGATGATGATCCCAATCAAATTAGCATGGATGAGGAGATGGGAGGCAGACATGGCACGGCATGAATATGATGACGCATCATATTTTCAAAAACATTGGGAAAACTTCACAAAACACACCAGTTCGATACGACTCATTACATTTCTACCCTCAAATTACTAATTTGAGCAATTACACCACACAAGTTGCGTAAGTGAGACTCCATTGAATAACCATTTGATTTTTTATTTTTGAAAATTAATCTTATAAACACTACTTCAACAAATAAGTTTTCTTTGTTTTGTTATCCACTTTGTACCAATGTTTGTATCAATGTTTTCAAAAGTCAAACCAAGTTTTGAAAACTTAAAAAATATATGTATATATATGTAGTTTTTAAGAACTTGTTTTTTTTTTTTGGATAAATTTTTTAGTATTATATAACAAAGGGGATAGGGGGAATTGAACTTCTAACCTCAATAGATATAGTACATGTCAATTACCATAAAAATATACTTAGCCGAGTAGTTTTTGTTTTAAAAATTTGACTAAGAATTCAAACGTTTCTTTAAGAAAAATGAAAACGGTAGTCAGAAAATTGGGAGAAAACAAGCACAAATCTCAAAAACATAAAACTAAAAACGAAACCATTCTGAAAATGGTCTGGAAAAATTTGGACCCTTACCGCTTGTGTTTCTGTCTAAAACTATCAATGAGTGAGCAGCAAACACGAGCTCAAATTAGTTTCCAGCTTCCTAAAATATTAGGATTTCATGCATTTTATATAATAGCAAGTAGATGGAATTAGATGAGGAGGCCAAAATGAGGGGTGTAGGAAAACGAAAATGTCTCGAAGGGAGATAAGGGCCGAGAGAAGAAATCAAGATAGTAAGCGCTACAACCAGAGATGAAGAACATATTTCCTCTTATCTTCGTATCTCTAACACACAAAGTTTCTTCTTTATTTCAATATATCTCTATTTACCTCTACCTTCATTTCTCCTTTACATTCTCTTCTCTCTACTATGCCCCCACCACATTCTCTTTCTCTCAATTTAACACATTTTGACCTCCCTTTGCCAACATTTTGTCCTCCTCAATTTAACCTCCCATCTTCTTTCCAAAGCATGAAACCATGACATTATACAAAGATGGAGAACCATAAGCACATTTATATGCTGTGCTGACAAGTGAAACCTTAAAACAGAAACACTAACAGGGTACAATTTTGTTAAACCTCCAATTGGGATGTTTGAGCTAGAAGGGGAAAAAGGCAATTTCGTCTCAAGAAACAAGGATGAGTAGTTGTTTATTATGGGACTGCTAGTAGTTATTATATTTGAATTTTGTGTGTTAGGGAGTTATAACTTCCTCTGCTGGTTATGTTGTTCTACTCATATGGGTGGTTTTCTAAACACAGCAATTTTAGTTCTTGTCTTGTGGAAGTGAGTCAAGTGTGGAGATTGTGACCGTCTCTAATTGGTCATAGTTGATAGATTGTATGTTCTCTTTGGAGACTTCTTAAGTAAATAATGGAAACCTATCAAATTTCTTCAGCAATGCAACTTAGAGTATGTAATTGTTTGAATTGAAATTTTATTGCTGCAATTGTAACAAGCCCCAATATACGGGTAGTTTATTCAATATTTTCAAAAACAATTTTTTTCCAGAAAATTTGTATAGTACTTTTGGTTTGTTCCCCCATCCCCTATGAGATGCAATGCTGCTAACTTTCTCTCTCTCGTTGTCCCTGGCTTATCTGCGGCATGTGTTTGGTTACTTGTTTCAACAGGTTTAGCTGTTCCGAGAAAATTTTATAATAAACATTGTTTAGTAATTTCTTCTTCTAACCTAAACTACATAACAAACTCACCCACTCTAAGTGTACAGATTGTTTGTTCGGAGAAAACATAACATACAAAGTCGCAAGAAGAAACGAAGGATGATGAAATTAAAGGATAAACAAGAACAGACGCCAGACCTAATGCACCATTACCAACAATAATAACTTTCGACAGATTCAGTAGGACTACACCGCGTTTGAATTGGATCCGAAATTTCATTTCCAAAAGTGCAAAGAGAGCTTAGAATCGAAATTACATATACAGATTCCGCAATTCAAAATAGAAGATCAGTAGATTGTTCAGTAGACAGTCCATCGGAAAACAGTTGGTAGATGTAGAGATGAGAAATGCATACCTTCGGGAGAGAATCAGAGAGAAAAGATAGGCGCGGCGGGAGGTTTCGTCGGGATGGTTGAAGGAAAGCAAGAATGGAACGGGTGATTTACAGAATAAGTTTCCTTTTTCTCCAAGCCAAGTTTCCGCTTGCTAACGAAGTCGTCGATTAACCCAAATTCTTGTCGTTCCAAAACAAGTAGATTTTTATTAAATATTTTCGCTACTAATATTATATTTTTCTCTTTTTTATTTAAACAATGAACAACTTTTATGTGAGGCATAAATAAATAAATGGACAAAGTAAGTGTTAGTAAGCACGGATCACACAGTAGTATGATATTGTCTAATATTGTCCATTCTAAGCCTAAGCTCTTATGGCTTTATTTTGGGCTTTCCTAAAAGGTCTCGTACCAATAGAGATAGTAATTCTCACTTATAAAGTCATGATCATTCCCTAAATTAGCCAATGTGGGACTTACTCTCAATAATCTTCAACAATCCTCCCCTCGAACAAAGTACACTATAAGCCTCCGCCAATGTGGGACTCGCTCCCAATAATCTTCAACAATCCTCCCCTCGAACAAAGTACACTATAAGCCTCCCCTTAATCGAGGCTCGACTCCTTTCTCTAGACCCCTCGAACAAAGTACACCCTTTGTTCGACACTTTAGTCACACTTTTGACTAAACCTTCGAGGCTCACAATTCTTTGTTCGATATTTGAGGATTCTATGGATATGGCTAAGTTTAGAGCATGGCTTTGATACCATGTTATGAATCACGAACCTCCATAATGATATGATATTGTCCACTTTGAGCATAAGCTCTCAAGGCTTTGCTTTGGGCTTCCCCCAAAGGCCTCATACTAATGGAGATAGGACTCACTCCCAATAATCCTCAACAGTAAGGCCTCCCGATTAAAAACGTGTTTAATTGTATTTAGTTTAAGCCAATTTCGAGATCTATCTCCCTAAATAACGAGGTTCGTTTGCTTCCATAGAGTAAGAATAAAAAATTTCATACTAATTAGTAACACTTAAGACTCATCGTCAATAAATCAACATGTTACTTTACTCATTCGAGTAATTAGATAAAATGGGTTATTAGATAGCATATAGAAATAAATTTGATGAATGTTTCTCCAACACTAAGTCAATTTAATCTTTTTTTTAGTTGATATAGTTTAATTTAGTTAGAAATTATTGAGACAAAATTCATTATATTAATATTGAAAGGAATCATTCTAATAGGCAACGGTATACAAAGGCATGACCACCCAGGATGGATTGTGTTTTTGGAATTGGCAACTCTTTGGGGTTAAACTCTTCCTGTACAAGATAAAAAAAAATACTAGTAGTAGTCTTCTCCTGGCAGTAACGACCAAAAAATTTACTGCCACAAAATTTCTAAAGAAAAAAAATGAATGGGACGCTCTAAGTTGTCGTATTGACCGGTAACCTATTTCTACGTATCTCGATTTGGTACCACGTAATAGAGATCAGATCTTGGTCGAGATCTAATGAATACTCGCTGGAAATAGTACAGTGACTCGAATAAGCGCTCAAATGGAAGAATCACACATTTGAGAGCAGCTATGAGCGGGAGGAAATTTGTGATAGAAATGTTTTCAGGGTCTCGTATGTCATGAAGACGATGCCTACACTTGGGACAACCTTGTAGTACTCTGGCAGAATCCCTCGGTACAAACCTTTAAGACCTTCTGACTTCACTATGTGTTTAAATGTTCCATACAAGCCAGTGTTATAAACACGGGCTCGCCCGCCAGCACCTTCCAATTGCATCCTTCGTCTCACAAGATCCAAAGGGAATGTTGCTGAAATAAAGCAGGAAGAAAGACAAATATGTTCACCAAAATGACTATCATTGCAGGAGAATATGATGAACCAGAAGAACCAGAAAATTCTATCAGTTTGATTCACTGTACCAAAATCATCAAATGAGAATGAGTAAGTAGGATTGAAAGAAACCAAATTTACCTGTTGATGATGCTATGCCTGAAAGACTACCACAAGCAAGACTGACCATTACAGTGGAGTCATGAGGCCTGGTGTCAAATCAAATGATCATTATACCAATACCCACAAGTATAAAACCAAAATGTAAATAACTTTTAAATAGAATACACCCAAATATAACCTAACCACAAAGTTCTTACCTTCGAGATTGCCAAAATGATCTCAAGCTCTCGTAAACTGAAAAGCTGATGGCTATACTTGGTCCAACACCCTGTCCCACGTGCAGTTTTATAAGGTCGTTGAGTCAAGTGAATGGAGCAAATATGCAGGTATATGTATAACTATCAAAATGCATACCAACAAGGTTGCTCCAAGTCCTTTATACAAGCCAAAGAAACCTTCTTCTCTGCAAATGGTATGGAATGCATGCGAGATGCCTCTGTAATAAATGGTATTTCTCTGTGGAGTTTAAATATGAAAAGGGTTACTCAAACAAGGAAAAAAGAGGTAACACAAGGATTGGATGCTATAAGTTTATAACTACAACATGCCATGCTAAAGATTTATTTTTATTTTTTCAAGATACAACCAAACTTTTCAATATGGAATTGAAAAGTTAAGAAATATTGTCGCCTCCAAGTATAAGCAAAAGCAACCTCACAAAAATGATAAACCAACCACAAAACAAATCACACCCAAAACAACTTGGCCATGGCCACTCCCTTCATAAAAGAGAAAAGGATTATAGGTTTTGTTGGTCAGAGTCTACCTTTGGGGCCTCGGTTAAAAGGAGCAATAGAACCTTCAAAGAAAAAAAACTCTCGCCTTCAATACATTTTTAGAAAATATTTTTAATCCGGCCGTTGGTTGGTGTAAAATTTTTTACCTTCCTTTCACTGACTACAAGTGAAATGCTCTAAAGAAAAACTGGATGGTGTTTAGGCAAATGCAGCATTTTGCAACCCCCGGGCGTATGTTTCCTCTTTCATTGAAATTTCTACTTCTTGTCCCAAACAAAAAATAAATAACAGTTACCACCACCAGTAGCAGCATCAACAATAACAACAGTTACCTGTGCAGCGAGTCTGGTCCTGACAAGGTCCAGTGGGTATGTAACAGAGGCAGCTGTTATTCCAGCCAAACCACCGCCAAAAAAATGCACAAGAAGATCCGCGCTGGCATTGCCCTGATATCTTTCCCTAACCATTGACTGAAGAAACTGCAAAGAGGAGAGAAAAGACGAGACGATTGGAAAACTATTCGAATGCTCTCGGCCACCAATTACCAACAAAGCTTCTCAAACAATCTATTGCTCACCTTCTTGTATTGTTCATAAGCATAGAAATTGACTGAAGAATACGGTAGGCGGTGAGCTATAGTGACCAGATTGCCTTTCCAAAATGCACGGAATCCCTCTTCATGGATGATACGTGAAGCTTCATGCCATAGGCTGGTTTTCTTCATTGCCGCAACATCAGAGTGCATACCTTGCACCTGGTAAAGTTGGATCGAGCAAGGAAGTTAACAACTAAATTAATTCGGGGTCAGAGCAACAAAAGCACGCTAATCTATCAAGTGAAACCCAGCATTTACACAACGGCGTAATCGAGGTCTAGGTCCTGACAAGAATTTATTGCCTAAGCATTTCTCATCTTCATCCATCTATTAATGAAACCCGAAGCAACATACATAACAAAAGAACCCTGGTGGACCCATAAACAAGGAGCAAGAAAATGATTACCCCAACCCCATAAGTTTCTTCTTTCCCAGGTAATGATTAAAAAAGAGACCAACAAATCAGAAAAAAAACATAAACAAAGCCTTCCGAAATCGACTTAAAACTCGGATAAAGAAGAATCATACCTGAAAGAGAATAGTGAGGCGAGCAAGAGGCGCCGTACACGTCTTGCTAAAGGCACCCGCAATACCACCGGCTAGAAGCTGCTGCACCGTACCAATCTGCGGTTGCTGGTTCAACGACGGCTTGTTCTGGCCTTGTTGCTGTAAATATTTCCTGGCACCGCCGTCGACGACGGCACCGTGAGCAGAATTAAGAGCCTTCTGCCCTCCTTCGACCACTACACCAACTCGAGCTTCCATATTCATTTTCCGTTTTCAAATCCGTCCTGGAAGGTGACACAAGAACGGCTGATCTTGATCTCACATCCGTCTTAAAAGACAAAGAAATCAAGAATTTGGGAGAAAAGTGACCGTGGAAGAGAGAGAGAGAGGAAAAAAAAAACCCTAGAAGAAGAAAACTGAAGAAGAACAGGACTTGTGGACAATGGAAAATTGACCTGATGGGTTTATTAGTGGTTTTAGTTTTGACAAATAAGCCAAGCCAGCCGACTTCCACAACCACCCCTTTTTTTTTTTTTTTTAA